CAGTAGTCATGTCAAAGGATGAAAGAGAGCACACATATTTTGTCACAGAAAACAGGAACAAACTGAAATTCCATCATGTTTACAGTTACCTGAGCAGACCAGGTGAAGCTACTATGAAGTAGTGATTTTATGTTCAACTCCCATCCAGGTAGGATGTCACATTAATGTTGGGATTTTATATTCTATTATATTCCCAGCCAGGTGGGAATTTATATTTCTGAAACTTTAAGATGTCAATTGATGTCAATTGCCAACTGGTAAAATATATTATTTAATCTTCTATTATTTTGGCTGTTAGATATTGTTTATGAACCCACGCACTACTAACTGTGTGTTAGAACAATAAATGAAAGAGTGATTCGACCTCTAATCATGGTCAAACTGTTAATTCTCCACATACATGGAATAAATTCACCGCAACTTCTGTTCAAAATATAGGACATTATTACCAAAAATCATTCAGCTCCAGGTCAAACATATTTCAGTTTAACACTCTCAACTAAGACTAGTGAAACTCAAATAAACGAAACTAATCTCACCGGAGATGGACCCAAGCTTCATGGGCAAGGGAGAGGAAGAAAAGAGAAAGAGAATCGTGTGTGCTCTGCGATTTTGTCTGTCGTCACACAGAGAGGGATGGTTGATCAGACCTGTGGGAGTTCCTGTGACTTGCCTGTGACTGCTTTGGCTGAAAGGGGGGGGGGGGGGCACAGAGTTCCCCCAGCTGTTATTCACCAAAGCTGCGTCCTCTTCTCTTGTCATCATGTCAAGATGAAATATGAACACTGGTTCCCAATGTCCAAAAACCGTTATCATGGCCTATGGCACAACACTGACAAGGTAAATCAGAGAGAATATAAAAAGTCAAGAGTGGAACTGAAAATACTTCAAAATGGGAGAATAATGATACAATAAAGCTGAATGATTGAAAGTGGTCCTTATGTCATCCAGATGTATAAACATTCAGCAGTATAAATATAGAAAATAGCTCAGGATAACCTAACTATTTTGGTTGAGGTATGAGAAAGATAGATCCAAGGAAAAAAATTATCTGGCTGTTATTCCAGATATTCTTGCAGTTATGATGTACCTAGCTAACCTTGATGTCCTGTTCAGATGGAAACAGTGGTGACTGGTAACCTAAGTAGACTTGAGATGAAAAGAGACCAGTTGCAGAGGAGACATGAGAGTCTGCATACTCTATTCGTGGGAGGAACTGACGCCAGTCAATGGGATTGAGGAAGTGAGAAGACTGAAGCTGGATTCTAGATTCCGATTCGTACATTCTGTTTGAACATTGGACTGAAGATGGAAACCGGAAGAGAGACGTGACATTGACTGCTTTGCAGAACTGTTTGAAGACTTCCGAAAAAAAATAGTAGACCCTGATCAGATAAGATGTCTTGGGGAGTTAGTGGATATTTGTTCTTTCTGTAATCTAACTGAGACCTTCGTAATCATAACAAGGATGGAGGGGACTGTATTTCTTCCACACCAAAAAGAAGTCCACCACCAGCGCGAAGGAAGAGTGATGGATGATGCCTGCATTCATGGAATCATTTATGTCCTTCATGTTCTCACACTCCAGACAACATTGGTTAAACACATTGCTGGAAGGCAAATGGGCACCATGGTGGATATTAACATGGCATTCATGGACGATGGGGGATAGATAGATAGAGAGCCTTAGACTTACTGAACACCTGTTTAGAGTCAAGGTATTCAGCTGGTATGTTAATAAGATCAGTGGGTTTACTATTGCCCTGGGTGATGGGAACAAGACTGGGATGAACGGCAGACTGTAAACAGGCAGAGAGACAGTAATAGCCCTTTCCTGCTGGGCTAAAAACCTGTTAAAACCGCAAAGAAGCAGCTTTTAGTGGCAGTGGGAACAGCTCACTGATCCACATTGACCTGTGTCAAATAACTCAGCAAACGAACTGGGTTTAAATTGCCTTCAAACTGCTCAGCTCTAATTGGCTAAAGTAAGAACATCATTGGACATCGACCCACTGAATTACGTGATACACTTAATGGCATCCCCGTCATAAAATAATCTTAAAAATCATCCCCCTTCTTAAATGACCATCCCCCCATAGTACCCCCTGTAACATTTTACTACTGAATGTGTAAAATGTCTACTATATGCTAACAGTAATGGCAAAAATATTGCCCTTTCAACAATTAGCGGGCTGTGGGCTTACAAGTAGCCTGAGCAAAATAAATAAAATCAAGAAGTGGCTTACCATGACTATAAAAATTATCCCAGTGGGAAATTATTTTAGGACAGAGAAACAAAGACCAGGCTAATTAGCAGGGGTGAACAGAGGCAAGAACGGAGCTAGGGAAAAGGAGACTGGCCCAAGAGGAAAACCAGGAAATATCTAAGAATTCAAAAACAATGAAAAAAATTTAACATTAAAAAAATTTTTTTTCCCCCCCGGGGCCCGGGAAAAATTTTTTTAAAAAAAAATTTTTCCTTTTTTTAAAATTAACCCTTAAAAAAATTTTTAAAAGGGAAAAAAAAAAAAGGGGCCAAAAAAAAGGGGGGGGAAAAAAAACCGGGAAGGGAAAAAAATTTTTAAAAAATTTTAAAAAACCCCCAAAAAAAAAAAAAAAAAAACCCCCCAAAAAAAAACCCCGGGGGGTTTTTTTTAAAAAAAAAAAAAAATTTTAAAGGGAAAAATTAGGAAACCTTTTTTTTTTTTTTTTTTTTTTTTTTTTACCCCCCGGGAAAGGAAAAAGGGGTTTTTTAAAAATTTTAAAAAAACCAAAAAAAAAAAAAAATTTTTTTTAAAAAAAAAGGGTTTTTTGGGGCCCCCTTAAAAAAATTTTTTTTTTAAAAAATTTTTTTTTTTTTAAAAAAACCCCCCCCGGGGGTAAAAAAAAGGGGGGGGGGGGAAAAAAGGGGGGGGGCCCCCCCGGGGGGGTTTTTTCCCCCCCGGGGGGGGCCCCCCTTTCCCTTTTTTTTGGGGGGGGGGGGGGGTTTTTTCCCCCCTTTAAAATTTTTTTTTTAAAACCCAAAAAATTTTTAAAAAAAAAAGGGGGGCCCCCCCAAAAAAACCCAAAAAAATTTTTTTTTTTTGGGGTTTTTTGGGGGTTTCCCGGGTTAAAAAGGTTCCCAAAAAAAGGTTTTTAAATTAAAAAAAAAAAAACCCACGGGAAAAAAAAAAAAGGAAAAAAAAACCCCCCTTAAAAAAAAAAAACCCAAAAATTTTTTTTTTTCCCCCCCCCCCCCTTTTTTTTTTTTTAAATTTGGGCCTAATTTTTTTTTCCCAAAAAAAAAAAGGAAAAAAAATTGGGGCCCCCAAAATTTTTAAAAAACCCAAAGGGCAAAAAAAATTTTTTTAAAAAAATAAAAAAAAATTCCCCCTTTCCGATTTAAAAAATTTTTTTAAAAAAAATTTTTTAAAAAAAATTTTTTTAAAAAGCCCCAAAAAAAACCAAAATTTTGAAATTGGGGAAAAAGGGTTTCCCCCGGGGGGGGGCCCTTTTTCCCAAAAAAAAATTTTTTCCCCCCTTTTTCCCCCCAAACCCCCCCCTTTAAAAAGGAAAAGGAAAAAACCCCAAAAGGGGGCCCCCCGGGCCCCCCCCGGAAAAAAAAAAAATTTCCCCCAAAAAAAATTTTTTTTTTGGGTTTTCCCGGGGGGGGTTTTTTTTTTTAAAATTTTTTTGGGGGGGAAAAGGGGGGAAAAAAAAAATTTTTAAACCGGGGGGCCCGGGGGGGGGGAAAAAGGGGAAAAAAATTTTTTTGGGGGAAAAAAGGTTTTTAAAAAACTGGGAAAAGGGGCCACAAAAAACCCCTTTTTTTGGGGGTTTTTTAAAAAAAAAAAAAAACCCCCAAAAAAAAAACCTTTCCCCCCTGAGATAAAATAACCTGCGCTGGAAAAAAACAAACTTCAGATGGCTCGCTGGTTTTGTTTTGCGATTTTGCTGGGTATGGCTTTTCATCGCTTTCAAATGAAGGTAAGGTGAAGCTTTAAAAAAAAATTCATGTTACATTTTGATGAACAATTTCCTTTTATCTAATGCAAAACTAACTTAAAATATAGAAACAAAATTATTTTTTTATTTTCAAAATTTATTAAAAAAAAAACAAAATTACTTTTATCAACCCCAGAATTTAAAGCCGCATTTTTAAAACAAAAATGTGTTTACGAAATATAGAACATCCCTTTAAACCCTTAAATTTATTAAAAACCAAGGGAAAATTTTAACTTAAACCCAACGGGTTTTTTAAAAAGCTTTTTAAAAAGTCCTTGGCCCATTGTTTTTCTCCAATTTATTTCCTCCCAAAAAAAGGGCCTTTTTTGATGGTCAATTTCTTAAAAGGGTGATGGGGGGGGGGGGGTTTTTTAAATGTCATGTCTTCCCCTAGAATTTAAAATTTACACAAACAAAGTTTTTTTCCCTTTAAAAACCCACAAAGTTGTTTTTTTAATTTTTTAAAATAATGGAAAACAAATTTCCAAAAGCATTTCATCTACACAACAATGGGAAACCCTTTTCCCTTTTGAAAAAAACCCGCCAAATTTTTATTTCCCTATTCAGAATGGGAAGATCTGAGTCAGACGAACAAGGAAGAAACTGTACAAAACTCTTAAAATAGAAGAAAATGCATCAATGGGACCCTTTTTTTTTCACAGGGAAAAAAAAAAAAGGGGAAATAAAAGGGGTGGAAGATCGATAAACATGTTTCTTTTTTCTGTTTTCAAGGGCGCGAGGAGTTGGACCAAAGAATCTGCTTTCCCGTTCAATGACAAGAAGGTACCAAAAATTTTGGGGGGTGGGGTACAAAACCAAAAAACCCGTCACGCTGCCCCCCCCCCCTGCCTCTTTTAAATATTTTCGCTTTTCAGAAGTGAAAACCCGTGATACCTTTTTTAAACTGGGGCCGGAATTTTCCCGACACTAAACCTCTTCCTTTTTTTTTTTCCCGGCTAAAACAGTTTTCAGGCCGTCCCGCTGTGTGTCCCGAAACCCCAGCACCCCGGGTTTAAAAGGGGCTCATCAGCCAGCTGGAGGCCAAAAAGGTTTCTGGTTCAAACTCCAACCTGTAAACGTGCAAATAATCTACCCATAAGCCAGCCTGCATGATTATGTAGGTTGGATGTGATGCTACAGTTTCTTACAGAAAACTAATTTTCTTCATGTAAATGAAGCATTTTTATTGTGGTTGTCATATGGAACAACACGTATGTTTTTTTTAAATACAACACTTAAGTTCAACCATCAACTTTTTGTCTATTGTAGTTTGAACTGACCTTAGAAAGTAACTAATGTAAAAGACAAATGTCTTCCAAATCCACAAGTGTCATCTTTATCTTATAAGCTATGATTGTTGCACTTGCTCCTGTAATACCTTAACTGTTGTTTTCTGATTATATTTAAAGTCTTATTTTACCCAGAAGTATTTTAATCCATTCAGAAGTTTCTTGTCCATTTGTGTGTATGCTTGAACCAGTGTATTGCTTACAAAATAAAGCTCATTACTTCTAAAATTCCCATCAGTCTAATTTTCTTACCCTCGTGTTTTCTTATTGTTGGTGAACCTTTGATTGCAGATAATATAATTCACTTTTGTATCTCAACTCTCTTTCTGTCTTTTTGTCAGGGTCAATGACTCTAAACCAAAGAAATCTGGCCTATTTAGGTTCTATTAGCATCTTTAGTATCTGAAGCTGGAGAAGATTACACACACACACGCACACACACAAACATTTTTATATATATATATATATAAATATATATATATATATATATATATATATTCCGTTTTTGTATTATAAGAGAATAACACATTTTAGATCTGAATGAATGTAATATTTTTCTGTACAAAGTTGGCTGACAACAAAGTCGAAAAAAAATAATTAATGGAAAGTAAGTGTATTAACAAATGGAGGCCTGGATTTGGAGTCCTTAAAGCAGGGCAAAATGATGCTCAATATTGTATGTGGCCTCCACCTGCCTGTATGACCTCCATACAACGCCTGGGCATGCTACTCATGAGTTGGTGGATGGTCTAAGGAATCTCCTCACAGACATGGACTAAAGCATCCACCAACACCTGGATAGTCTGTGCTGCAAATTGATGTTGGTGGATGGATCGAGAGATGATGTCCATGATGTGCTCAATCGGATTCAGGTCTGAGGAAACCGGCGGACCAGTCCATAGCTTCAATGCCTTCATCCTGCAGAAATGTCTGACACCCTCCAGCCACATGAGATCTAGCATTGTCCTGCATTAGGAGGAACCCAGGGCCAACCACACCAGCATGTGGTCTCACAAGGGGTCTGAGGATCTCAACATTGTACCTAATGGCAGACATGCTACCTCTTGTGAGCACACAGAGGTCTCTGCAGCCCTTCAAAGAAATGCCACCCCTCACCATTACTGACCAACTTCCAAACCGGTCATGCTGAAGGATGTTGCAGGGAGCAGATCGCTCTCAACAGTGTCTTCAGCTTCTGTCACATCTCTAACATTTTTTCAATATAACGTTCTTGATCCCAGGCTGTCTTTTCTTCTCTTCATTTAAGGCACGCAGATGTCACAGTAAGCTAATGTTTGAACAAACTGTGAGGTCATCCAAACTCACCATATCTTTCCCCAATATGCAACAATTTGTACAATAGAACCATTTATAGAATACAACATTTTTGTATCTGAACATATCAGTAATCTGATTTCCGTTCACTTAATCTATAGTCATACATAATTCCCTCTGCGCAACATGTCATCTCAAATCAATTTAAAGGGCCTTTGATAATTATATCATACAGATAGTAACAATACATGTAAACTTGAGCAGTTATTATCAAATCTGTTTCTATCTACATAATAAGCTGGGGGGAAAAAACCCTGTGTAATATTCAATTGACTTATTTTCAACACTAGAGGGAGCAACTCCACCAGTTTATACTGGAATAGTTTAATAGTTTGATGTGTGCAGAATTTTTGCTGCAATTGGCACTACAAACAGCTCACTACCGAGACACCTGTACTTTCAAAGCATTGATATATATCTTACATTGCTTGGTATATTTTAAAATCTGTTAAATGTACCCAACCATAGAATATGACTTATTGTCCCACTGCAGGCAAATTCAGATGGAAAAACTATTAACAGTAGGAATCTAAACAACTCTGAGGTTTTAGGGAGCAGTATTTGTTATTGGCTGCTATTAACACTACTAGCGCTTGTGAAGAATGGAGGGCTTTGCTCTGGGAACTCCCCTGGAACGTCTGGAGATTGTTTTTTACAAAAGGATATTTCATAAAGCACGGAACGTCTTGGACAATCTTAGAGGATCCTCTTTAGAAGACTATTGAACAACAGTAGAGTATTGTCAGTCAAAGGCTTCTCTAGATCTGCAGCAGGAGTTCCTTCCTTCATACAACAATTAACATCAACAACTTGTTAAAAACCATTGGACTGGCAACAGCATTTAATTTACCCCCTTTTTCCACTTTTTTCCCCTTGTTTTTAAAATAAAATATTGTTTTAACTTGGTTGAGATGAATCAGAGCCAGTAATACTTGGTTGTCCCGCCCCGTCCACACGAAGACGAACCCTGGCCTAAACGCACAAATTTTTCACCAAACCAGCCTCTCATCCACACGAAGCCGGCGTTTCGGGGGTCTGTAAACGATCTTTTTTTTATTCAGCCTTCAGAGTGGGAAGATTTCGAAACGCCGTTTTCGCGTTTCCATCTTTACGCTCTAACCGCATATTTTATTTTACACGCATGCGTCATAGCGTCGCCTCTAAACACGCATGCGCCACACATCACAACAACAATGGCACCGTTGCTGCTAATGCTACTCACCCTGCTGTCGGGCTTACAACAGAATCTTCTTCTTCTGGAATATCTCCAGGAAGAACAGAGCAATATCGACGACATAGTTCACCACCTGAATTTGACTTAACCACGAAAATGGACCCGCAGGGCAACCATGTATAAATATTAGTACGCATGCCCAACATTTCGTGGCTTATTTTTGCTTTGGCACCACAGCGCCACTTACAGGCCTTGCATACATTTTGCAGCGTTTTCATGCATTCGTGTGGACGCTCACATTTATTTTACGTCTCCGTCTTTACGGCAAACGTTTTGGAAAATATCAGCGTTTCGTGTTCGTTTTGACTTCGTGTGGACGGGGCCTAAGTAAGCTGGTGCCTCTGAACAGAGGAGGACCACATGCTGATTGCTTCACACCATCAAACACTGATGCAATTCACAGCAATTCATACAAAAGAAAAGTCAACCAAGTTCTTAGTTCATATTTAAAACACTATATTACTGTTTAGCTGGCCCTAATATTAAATTTTTCACAGCAATCTTCAGCCTGATCATACACATAGATTCAAGTTAATTACACTATGTGCAGAATTATTAGTTAAATGAGTATTTCAACCACATCATCCTTTTCATACATGGTGTTCTACTCCAAGCTGTATAGGCTTGAAAGCCAACTACCAATTAAGTAAATCAGGTTGTGTGCATCTCTGCATTGAGAAGGGGTGTGGCCTAATGACATCAACACCCTATATAAGGTGTGCCTAATTATTAGGCAACTTCCTTTCTTTGGCAAAATGCACGGGCACGAGGCTGGATCAGTAAAGGGCAGCAAGTTCCTCATCGACTCAGTCGCCAGCAAGGTGGAGGTGGGGTACTGGTATGGGCTGGTATCAAAAAGATGAGCTTGTGGGACCTTTTCGGGTTAATGATGGAGTCAAGGTCAACTCCCAGACCTACTGCCAGTTTCTGGAAGACACCTTCTTCAAACAGTCGTACAAGAAGAAGTCGCCATCATTCAAGAAAAACCTGATATTCATGCAGGACAATGCTCCGCCACACATCAAAATGCACCACAGCGTGGCTGGCCAGGACAAGTCTAAAGGTCTCTGGGAGGCTGGTGTGGCTGCTGCACGCAATGTGGATCGCAAACAGATCAAGACACTGACAGAATCTATGGATGGAAGGCTTTTAAGTGTCATGGTGAAGAAAGTTTCTTTGTTTGCTTTTTTGATATTGAATGTTGCAAGTTTATTTCTGAATCTTTAGTTGTTATATTGGTTTACCTGGTGAAAATAAACAAGTGAGATGGGTATATATTTGTTTTTTATTATGTTGCCTAATAATTCTGCCCGGTAATATTTACCTGCACACACAGACATCCTCATAAAATGGCCAAATCTAAAAAAGAACACATCAACTTCCAAAAATATGAAACTTTGATATTAAGGAGTCTTTTGGGTTGATTCGGAACATGCTTGCTCTTTTAATTCACGTCAACTTCCAGAAAGAATGATTGATAAAAATATTTTCTTAAATAGTTTTCTTTTGAGTATCCAGTTTTACTTTACTCCTTGTTTTCAAGTTTAAATGGTTTAATGTTTATTTTTGTTATGTTCTCTGGTTAATTCTTAGTTACTGTTTCAGTTTTGTTTTCTTTTGAGTATCCGGTTTTGCTTTACTCCTTGTTTTCTAGTTTAAAGGGTTTCATTCTTATTTTGTTGTGTTTTTCTGATTATTTTTAGTTTTCTTGGTTTCTATTTGTTGCCCTCTGCTGCCATCTTTTGTTCTCCTTTTTCTGTAGCTCTTTTCCTCTATTGCTCTGTGCACTTCTGCTCCCAGTTTGCTCATTAGCCCTTTCTTTGTTTGTCTCCTATAAATACTCTTGCTGTTCAGTTCCTCTTTGCTGTGTCCTCGTCTAACCTCATCAGTCTTCCTTCAACTCGTCTCTCTGAGCCATCCTCCAGGTTGCAGTTCTTCCCCTGATGACTCCTAGGTTTTTGGTAATGTTTGACTTGTTTTCATGATTTTTTTATCTTTGAATTTTTGGACTCCTGGTTTCTCATTTGTTTTTCGACTTTGTTTTCATTTGGATTTCTGTATTCCTGTTGCCTGTGGTTTTGGACTTTGTTTCAGTACTCTTCATTAAATAAACTAAAAATTCACCTCTGCCTGCCTGCCTCTGCTTTTGCGTCAACTATCCTACACCAAATCCTGACAGGGGCCAAAAAGGTTTCTGGTTCAAACTCCAACCTGTAAACGTGCCAATAATCTACCCACAAGCCAGCCTGCATGATTATGTAGGTTGGATGTGATGCTACAGTTTCTTACAGAAAACTAATTTTCTTCATGTAAATGAAGCATTTTTATTTTGGTTGTCATATGGAACAACAGATATATTTTTTTTAAAGATACGATACTGAAAGTTCAACCATCAACTTTATTTCTATTGTAGTTTGAACTGACCTTAGAAAGTAACTAATGTAAAAGACAACTGTCTTCCAAATCCACAAGTGTCATCTTTATCCTATAAGCTATAACTGTTGCAATTGCTCCTGTAATACCTTAAATGTTTTTATTTGATTATATTTAAAGTCTTATTTTACCCAGAAGTATTTTAATCCATTCAGAAGTTTCTTGTCCATTTGTGTGTATGTTTGAACCAGTGTATTGCTTACAAAATAAAGCTCATTACTTCTAAAATTCCCATCAGTCTAATTTTCTTATCCTCACATTTTCTTATTGTTGGTGAACCTTTGATTGCAGATAATATAATTCACTTTTGCCTCTCAACTCTGTTTCCGTCTTTTTATCAGGGTCACCGACTCTAAACCAAAGAAATCTGGCCTATTTAGGTTCTATTAGCATCTTTAGCATTTGAAGCTGTACAAGATCATATACACACACACACACATTTATATATATATTATAATATTAGAAGAGAATGACGCATTTTAGATCTGAATGAATGACATATTATTCTATACAAAGTTAAATTTGCTAACAAAATGTAAAAAATTAATGGAAATTAAATGTATTAACAAATGGAGGCCTGGATTTGGAGTCCTTACAGCAGGGCAAAATGATGCTCAGTTTTGTATGTGGCCTCCACCTGCCTGTATGACCTCCTGGTCATGCTACTCATGAGTTGGTGGATGGTCTAAGGAATCTCCTCACAGACATGGACTAAAGCATCCACCAACACCTGGATAGTCTGTGCTGCAAATTGATGTTGGTGGATGGATCGAGACATGATGTCCCAGATGTGCTCAATCGGATTCAGGTCTGAGGAAACCGGCGGACCAGTCCATAGCTTCAATGCCTTCATCTTGCAGAAATGTCTGACACCCTCCAGCCACATGAGGTCTAGCACTGTCCTGCATTAGGAGGATCCCAGGGCCAACCACACCAGCATGTGGTCTCACAAGGGGTCTGAGGATCTCAACACTGTACCTAATGGCAGACATGCTACCTCTTGTGAGCACACAGAGGTCTCTGCAGCCCTTCAAAGAAATGCCACCCCACACATTTACTGACCAACTTCCAAACCGGTCATGCTGAAGGATGTTGCAGGCAGCAGATTGCTCTCCCTCTGTCACATCTGTAACATTTTCTCAATATAACCTGCCTTGATCTGTGAAGAGCATAGGGCACCAGTGGCCAATATGCAAATCCTGGCTTTTTCTGGCAAGTGCCAAGTGTCCTGCATGGTGTTAAACTTTGAGCACAACCTCAACTTGTGGACATCCTCATGGAATGGGTTTCTAACCGTTTATGAAGATACATGCACATTTGCTGCCTACTGGAGGTCATTTTGCATTACTTCAAAATGGGAGAATAATGATAGAATAAAGCGGAATGATGGAAAGTGGTGCTTATGTCCTCCGGCTGTCTAAACATTCTGCAGTATAAATATAGAAAATAGCTCAGGATGAATTAACCATTTTGGTTGAGGTATGAGAAAGATAGATCCAAGGAGAAACATTTTCTGACTGTTATTCCAGATATTCTTTCAGCGACAGATGTTATATTGTACCTAGCTAACCTTGATGTCCTGTTCAGAGGGAAAAAATGGTGACTGGTAACCTAAGTAGACTTGAGATGAAAAGAGACCAGTTGCAGAGGACACATGAGAATCTGCATACTCTATTCATGGGAGGAACTGACGCCAGTCAAGGGGATTGAGGAAGTGAGAAAACTGATGCTGGTTTCTAGATTCCAATTCGTACGTTCTGTTTGAACGTTGAACTGAAGATGGAAACCGGAAGAGAGACGTGACATTGACTGCTTTGTAGAAATGCTTCAAGACTTCAGAAAAAAATAGTAGACCCTGATCAGATAAGATGTCTTGGGGAGTTAGTGGATATTTGTTCTTTCTGTAATCTAACTGAGACCTTGGTAATCATAACAAGGATGGAGGGGACTGTATTTCTTCCACACCAAAAAGAAGTCCACCATCAGTGCAAAGGACAAGTGATGGATGATGCCTGATTCATTGAATCATTTATGTCCTTCATGTTCTCACACTACAGACAACATTGGTTAAACAGATTGCTGGAAGGCAAATGGGCACCATGGAGGATATTAACATGGCATTCATGGACGATGGGGGATAGACAGAGAGCCTGAGACTTACTGAACACCTGTTTAGAGTCAAGGTATTCAGCTGGTATGTTAATAAGATCAGTGGGTTTGCTATTGCCCTGGGTGATGGGAAGAAGACTGGGATGAACAGCAGACTGTAAACAGGCAGAGAGACAGTAATAGTCCTTTCCCGTTGGGCCAAAAACCCATTTGAAACCACGAACAATCAGCTTTTAGCGGCAGTGGAAACAGCTCACTGATTCACATTGACCTGTATCAAATAACTCAGCAAACAAACGGAGTTTAAATTGCCTTCAAACTGCTCAGCTCTAATTGGCTACAGTGTGAACATCATTGGACATCGACTCACTGAATTATGTGATACACTTAATGGCATCCCTGTCATAAAATAATCTTAAAAATCATCCCCCTTCTTAAATGACCATTCCCCCATACTATCCTCTGTAACATTTTACTACTGAATGTGTAAAATGTCTACTATATGCTAACAGTAATGGCAAAAATATTGCCATTTAAACAACTGGTGGGCTGTGGGCTTACAAGTAGCCTGAGCAAAATAAATAAAATCAAGAAGTGGACAAAAAAGGGCAAACAGGAAATATCTAAGAACTGAAATACAATCAAAAATACCTAGAACACAAGAATGAAAAAGACCACAAATGAAAACTCAGAGATAAAACTTGAACAAAACCAAAACCATGACAAAACCTCATGTTCTATGTCTGTCCCAATCTGAACAGTAATGTGCCAACCCCCACTTTTTTAGATACAGTACATGTGTCTCTGCTTGCTCTTTTAATTCACATCAACTTCCAGAAAGGATGATTGATAAAAATATTTTCTTAAATAAATTCTGTAATTTATTTCATAAAACTAAAGGGAGGCAAAATAATCTATTAATTTTATTCAGTTTGAAAATATAAGAGGTCGTCTAGCTCATTTTGTTTTCATCATGTGTCTTAATTTCTAAATAGAACCTGTCCAATCTGATACAGCAGCAACACCTCTGTGATTGACAGGCTCATATAGATGAGGACCGGAGTCAAAGCTTCGCAGTTGGAGGCCAGGTCATTCCACTTCTGCATCGCTTATATTCAAGTAAAACCTGACTCAGTCTGGGACCCCCGCCCCAACTCCATCCAACAAGACACTGAAGAACATGATCCACATGAGGCAGCAACCCCCTCCACCACCACCAGGAAACTAGAAACAAAAATATTACATCCACATTCACTGAAAATGAAGTCAAGGCAGACCTTTGCCCTGCTTCCATGCAGGGTGAGGGTCTACTACAATTAGGGTTTGCATACAGAGTAATCTGATGAGGTTGAGTGATGAAAATAGATCATAGGGCCAGAGCGGGGAGAGAGACCATAGTTTGGGTCAAAAAGGGGAAACCACATTATTCCTCTGTATTGCAGAAGTGAAAAGTTTACGTGTGAAAAGGAACAATAGAGCCAAAAGTTTCCACACACGTAGGTTATCCCCCTTGATGACATTGATTTAAGGCGTTTTCTTACATACATATAAAAGCAGATCATCTCCAAACAGCAGAAACAACAATCTGACCTCAGCTGAGATAAAATAACCTGCTGCTGGATAATAAACAAACTTCAGGATGGCTCGTCTGGTTCTGTCTGCGATTGTGCTGATGATGGCTGTCATCGCTTTCACTGAAGGTAAGGTGAAGCTTTAAAGAAACATTCATGTTGACATTTTGATGTATCAATTACCTTTTATCTAATGTAATCTAACTTAAAATATAGAATCAAATTTATTTTTTTATAGCAACTTTATTAAAATAAAACAAGACAACTTTATCACCGAGAATTAACGCCGCATTTTAAATCAAAAATGTGTTTACGAAATATAGAACATCTTAACCATTATTGATTAATAACCAGGAAATTATAACTTACCTCAACGCTTTATAACGCTTTTAAATAGTCCTTGGCCCATTGTTTTGCTCCAATCATTTCCTCCAATGGGCCGTTTTAAATGGTCAGTTTCTTAACTGCTGATAGGGTTGGTAGTGTCATGTCTTCATAGAATCACATTTTACACAAACAAAGTTTTATCCTTTGAAATCCCACATGTTCGTTTTACTAAAGTAATGGAAAACAAATTTCAATGCATTTCATCTACACTGTCATGTCTGGCTGAACCTTACGGACCCACATGCAGAATCTGGCTCGGACACAACTGAAGGGAGAAGAGTTTATTGTTTACTCAGCCAACACAGAATGGAGAATAACTGAGAGTCTCTTAGAATACACTGCCACAGGCTGTGCAGGTGGCTGGAGGTGCGCTGAGGGAGGAGACGTTGATCACGGAGCTGTCACAGAGGGGGTGAAGAGCGGGCAGTCAGACTGAGGCGATCGTCAGAGAGTTTTCACTGGAGCGGTGGAGAGCGGGCAGGCTGACAGAAACTAAGCTGCAGATAGGATCAGCACGCTGAGTTAGACGCAGAAGGGATCCGTCCAGGAGCGCTTCGATTAAAACCTGGGAATCCAGAGACACAAGAGGTGAGCTATCAGGAAGCTTTCAACAGGAATCAGAATAAACTTTCTCGAGGGGAATTTCACGAGGGCTAGATTGGTACCAGAATATGGGGACCATCAGGCGTGGAAGAGATGGCTGCAGCTCCTTAAATCCCTCTCAGGTGGATGGGTTGATTGGTCTCAGGTGCTCGGACAGCCAGCCACGCCCACCTGCAGTGCTCCAGAAGAAATAGAGAAACACTCCACTCAAGGGTTCTGACATACACATCAATGCACCTTTTCTTCTGAATCTGCATTTTGATTTCATATTCAGAGATGTAAGATCTAAGTCAGATGAACAAGGAAGAAACTGTACAATCTCTTAAAATAGAAGAAACTGCATCAGATGGTACCTATTTTATTTTCACAGGAAATTAAGAAAGGGAACTAAAGGAGTGGAAGATCTGATAAACATGTTTCTGTTTTCTGTTTGCAGGTCTGCGAGGAGTTGGACCAAAGAAGTGCTGCTTCCAGTTCAATGACAAGAAGGTTTCAATAAATAGGGTGGTGGGCTACACCAAAACCAGTCAGCGCTGCCCCAACCCTGCCTTCTTGTGAGTATTCACTGTTACAGAAGTGAACCAGTGATACTTTATCTGGTCCTGGATCTGCTGATGCTCTCCTCTTCCTTTTCCATTTCCAGGCTGAAAACAGTTGCAGGCCGTCAGCTGTGTGTCAGACCATCAGCACCCTGGGTGAAGGAGCTCATCAGCCAGCTGGAGGCCAAAAAGGTTTCTGGTTCAAACTCCAAACTGTAAACGTGCAAATAATCTACCCACAAGCCAGCCTGCATGATTATGTAGGTTGGATGTGATGCTACAGTTTCTTACAGAAAACTAATTTTCTTCATGTAAATGAAGCATTTTTATTGTGGTTGTCATACGGAACAACAGATATATTTTTTTTAAAATACAACACTTAAGTTGAACCATCAACTCTGTGAGCTTTACCTCTATTGTAGTTTGAACTGACCTTAGAAAGTAACTAATGTAAAAGACAAATGTCTTCCAAATCCACAAGTGTCATCTTTATCTTATAAGCTATGATTGTTGCACTTGCTCCTGTGATACTTTTACTGTTGCTATCTGATTATATTTAAAGTCTTATTTTACCCAGAAGTATTTTAATCCATTCAGAAGTTTCTTGTCCATTTTTGTGTATGCTTGAACCAGTGTGTTGCTTACAAAATAAAGCTCATTACTTCTAAAATTCCCATCAGTCTAATTTTCTTACCCTCGTGTTTTCTTATTGTTGGTGAACCTTTGATTGCAGATAATATAATTCACTTTTGCATCTCAACTCTGTTTCTGTCTTTTTATCAGGGTCAATGACTCTAAACCAAAGAAATCTGGCCTATTTAGGTTCTATTAGCATCTTTAACATTTCAAGCTGTACAAGATCATATACACACACACACATTTATATATATATTATAATATTAGAAGAGAATGACGCATTTTAGAGCTGACATATTATTCTATACAAAGTTAAATTTGCTAACAAAATGTAAAAAAATTATAATGGAAATTAAATGTATTAACAAATGGAGGCCTGGATTTGGAGTCCTTACAGCAGGGCAAAATGATGCCCAGTCTTTAGCATCTTTAGTATCTGAAGCTGGAGAAGATTACACACACACACGCACACACACACACACATTTATATATATATATATACACACTTATATTTATATATATATATATACACACTTATATTTATATATATATATATATATATATATTTATTTGCCGTTTTTGTATTATAAGAGAATAACACATTTTAGATCTGAATGAATGAGTTAAATCGGCTGACAACAAAGTCGAAAAAAAAATAATTAATGGAAAGTAAGTGTATTAACAAATGGAGGCCTGGATTTGGAGTCCTTAAAGCAGGGCGAAATGATGCTCAATATTGTATGTGGCCTCCACCTGCCTGTATGACCTCCTGGTCATGCTACTCATGAGTTGGTGGATGGTCTAAGGAATCTCCTCACAGACATGGACTAAAGCATCCACCAACACCTGGATAGTCTGTGCTGCAAATTGATGTTGGTGGATGGATCGAGACATGATGTCCCAGATGTGCTCAATCGGATTCAGGTCTGAGGAAACCGGCGGACCAGTCCATAGCTTCAATGCCTTCATCTTGCAGGAATGTCTGACACCCTCCAGCCACATGAGATCTAGCACTGTCCTGCATTAGGAGGAACCCAGGGCCAACCACACCAGCATGTGGTCTCACAAGGAGTCTGAGGATCTCTACATTGTACTTAATGGCAGACATGCTACCTCTTGTGAGCACACAGAGGTCTCTGCAGCCCTCCAAAGAAATGCCACCCCTCACCATTACTGACCAACTTCCAAATCGGTCATGCTGAAGGATGTTGCAGGCAGCAGATCGCTCTCAACAGTGTCTTCAGCTTCTGTCACATCTCTAACATTTTTTCAATATAACGTTCTTGATCCCAGGCTGTCTTTTCTTCTCTTCATTTAAGGCACACAGATGTCACAGTGGGCTAATGTTTGAACAAACTGTGAGGTCATCCAAACTCATCATATCTTTCACCAATATGCAATAATTTGTACAATAGAACCATTTATAGAATAGAACATTTTTGTATCTGAACATATCAGTAATCTGATTTCCGTTCACTTAATTTATATTCATACATAATTCCCTCTGCGCAACATGTCATCTCAAATCACTTTAAAGGGCCAATGATAGTTATATCATACAGATAGTAACAATACATGTGAAATTGAGCAATTATTATCAAATCTGTTTCTATCTACATAATAAGCTGGGGGGAAAAAAAAAACCCTGTGTAATATTCAACTGACTTATTTTCAACACTAGAGGGAGCAACTCCACCAGTTTATACTGGAATAGTTTAATAGGTTGATGTGTGCAGAATTTTTGCTGCAGTTGGTATTATGAACAGCTCACTACCGAGACACCCTGTACTTTCAAAGCATTGATATACATCCTATATTGCTTGGTATATTTTAAAATCTGTTAAATGTACCCAACCATAGAATATGACTTATTGTCCCACTGCAGGCAAATTCAGATGGAAAAACTATTAACAGTAGGAATCTAAACAACTCTGAGGTTTTAGGGAGCAGTATTTGTTATTGGCTGCTATTAACACTACTAGCGCTTGTGAACAATGAAGGGCTTTGCTCTGGGAACTCCTCTGGAACGTCTGGAGATTGTTTTTTACAAAAGGATATTGCATAAAGCACGGAACGTCTTGGACAATCTTAGAGGATCCTCTTTAGAAGACTATTGAACAACAGTAGAGTATTGTCAGTCAAAGGCTTCTCTAGATCTGCAGCAGGAGTTCCTTCCTTCCTACAACAATTAATATCTACAACTTGTTAAAAACCATTAGACTGGCAGCAGCATTTAATTTACCCCCTTTTTTCCACTTTTTTTTTTAAAGTAAAATATTGTTTTAACTTTGTTGAGATGAATCAGAGCCAGTAATACGGACTGTATGTTCCTAAGTAAGCTGGTGCCTCTGAACAGAGGAGGACCACATGCTGATTGCTTCACACCATCAAACACTGATGCAATTCACAGCAATTCATACAAAAGAAAAGTCAACCAAGTTCTTAATTCATATTTAAAACACTTTATTACTGTTTAGCTGGCCCTAATATTAATTGTTTCATAGTAATCTTCAGCCTGATCATACACATAGATTCAAGTCAATTACACTGTGTGCAGAATTATTAGGCAAATGAGTATTTTGACACTTCATCCTTTTCATACATGTTGTCCTACTCCAAGCTGTATAGGCTTGAAAGCCAACTACCATTAAGTAAATCAGGTGGTGTGCGTCTCTGTAATTAGAAGGGGTGTGGCCTGATGACATCAACACCCTATATAAGGTGTGCTTAATTATTAGGCAACTTCCTTTCTTTGGCAAAATGCACGGGCACGAGGCTGGATTAGTCTCAGATGCCAGCAAGGTGGAGGTGGGATACTGGTATGGGCTGGTATCATCAAAGATGAGCTAGTGGGACCTTTTCGGGTTGATGATGGAGTCAAGATCAACTCCCAGACCTACTGCCAGTTTCTGGAAGACACCTTCTTCAAACAGTCGTACAAGAAGAAGTCGCCATCATTCAAGAAAAACATGATATTCATGCAGGACAATGCTCCGTCACACGCATCAAAATACACCACAGCGTGACTGCTGCACGCAATGTGGATCGCAAACAGATTAAGACACTGACAGAATCTATGGATGGAAGGCTTTTGAGTGTCATGGTGAAGGTGATGGTGACGGATGTTTGTTTGTTTTTTTGTTTTTGACTGTTGCAAATGTTTATTTCTGAATTTTGAGTTGTTATATTGGTTTACCTGGTGAAAATAAACAAGTAAGATGGGTATATATTTGATCTTTATTACGTTACTCAATAATTCTGCACAGTAATATTTACCTGCACAAACAGACATCCTCATAAAATGGCCAAATCTAAAAAAGAACACAGAAAGAACTTCCAAAAATATGAAACTTTGATATGAAGGAGTTTTTTAGGGTGATTGAGAATGCAATTGTGGCCCAGTAATAAAAATCCTCAAAAATACAACTTGCCTAATAATTCTGCACACAGTGTACTGTACATACAATTCTGTTTGACAGTAGTTATCAAGTAATGTGTGATTAATGAATGTGTCCGTGTAAGAAACATGTGCAACAGCCCAGGAGCACTTTCTTTGTTGTATAAAATCATTAATGATCGTATTATTTGGGGTTTTCCTTGTGCCTCCATTAAAGACAGAAAAACATCTAAGAAAATAAATGAGCATAACAGTTAGTCTCAGCAAAAATATCAGCCAATACTGATGTCCAAGGCTGTTTAAAGAGTGAAATCACATCTTATGTTGAGTTACTCTGATTATGTCCAAGAGAGAGACAGATTTACACACCAAAACACGAAGCTAAGTGTATTATCAATGTATAGTGAACATTAAATTGTTGGTGGAAGTATCCCGGCTAATGCATCCCTAATTCACTGCAAAAATGTAACTTTTTGAGGTGAATTATTTAAATAATTAGATTTTTGATTATATATCAATATGCATCTGCATGAAAATTTATCCATGATATGCTTTCACATGGTAATGGTTTTATTGTTTTATAAGGATATCATTACTAAAAATGTTAGTATCTTGGACAAAAAAAATCTAACAACAAAT